TCCCAACATCCCATTTGCAAGTGATTTTGAGTTCGAAGGAGAAGGAACCATGGCCGAAAATAGGACTTTGAAGGAGCTTGCAGCACCAACATTGAATCAACAACCTTTATGCATAACTTTTCCTAATTTAGATGGTACTACTACATTTGAGCTTAAATCTAGACTAATACACCTCTTGCCCACTTTTCATGGTCTTACAGGTGAAGATCCTCATAAACATTTGAAAAAATTTCATGTGATCTGTACAAGTATGAAACCTACTGGAGTCACCGAAAAACAAATCAAATTGAGAGCCTTCCCATTCTCTTTAAAAGATTCGACAAAGGATTGGCTCTATTATCTACATTCAGGAAGCGTTACTACATGGAATGGGATGAGAAGACTATTTTTGGAGAANTCTGTAAGATTCGGGTAAGTATTGACTTTATTATCTACCATCAAGAAGCATTACCTCATGGGATGGAATGAAGAGTCTATTTTTGGAGAAATATTTTCCAGCTTCGAGGCCAGCAAATATTAGGAAGGAAATTTGTGGTGTTAGATAAGATCATAGGGAATATCTACATAAGTATTGTGAGCGGTTCAAGAAATTGTGTGCAAGTTGTCTCCATCATCAGATCAGTGAGCAATTCTCATCCAATACTTCTATTAAGGTCTTCAATCCATAGATAAGAGCATGATCGACACTGCAAGTAGAGGAGTTTTGGTGGATAAAACTCTCGAGGGAGCAAGGAACCTAATTGCAAACATGGCAGTCAACTCTCAACAATTTGGCACTAGATTTGATTCTCCTTCCAGACAAGTTAACGAGGCAAATATCTAATCCATTGAACAATAAATAGCAAGTCTAACTACGATTGTTAGTCAAATGGCAGCAGGTACTATGCAAACAGTAAAGGCATACGAAATTTGTTTATTGGTAGACCATCCAATTGATATGTGTCCAACACTTCAAGAAAAATCCGTTGAACACATAAATGCTGCCGATAGCTTTCCTGGACAACCACAGAGGAATTATGATCCATATTCAAACACATACAACCAAGGATGGAGGGATAATCTAAATTTTAGCTATGGGAATCAACAAGTGAATCAACCTATGAATCAAAATTGGCATAATTTCCAACAATATAATCAGACATACCCTCCTAGACAATAACAAGGCCAAACTTCTAACTCTGGTATGTCTTTAGAAGATATTATTAAATCCCTTGCCTCTAACACTTAGCAATTTCAATAGGAGACCAAGGCTAGCATTCAATATTTGGAGAATCAAATAGGTCAAGTAGCTAACGCAATCAATCGGCTGGAGTTACAGAATTCGGAAAAACTATCCTCTCAAACAATGGTGAATCCAAAAGAAAATGTGAGAGCAATCATACTGAGAAATGGTAAAGAGGTTGAGATTCCGGAAAAGACATCCATTACGTCGTTGGAGCAAGAAGATGAAGAAAAAGAGGCTGCAAACAAGACTGCCACCAATGACATTGA